ACAGCTGTCCCCACTACCACAGCCACAGCCAGAGAGGGCACAACCATCATCGCTACCACGACAAGGACCTCTCCACCTGAGACAAAAGGCACAACCAGCACCATCCCAACAACAACAGCCATACCCACTCCAGCCACCAGCACTGCCAGCACCTCCAGGATCACCGAGGGAAGCACTGCAACAGCCTCAGCCACCTCTGCTCCAGGTGAAACCTCCATTGCAGTAACCAGAGCTGCATCATCTCCCACTGTAATTTCTGAAATTATAATCGGAACCACTACTGGAATGACAGCTGTTCCCACTACCACAGCCACAGCCAGAGAGGGCACGACCATCATCGTTACCACCACAAGCACCTCTCCCCCTCAGACTGAAGGAACAACCACCGCCACCGAACCAACAACAGCCATGCCCACTCCAGCCACCAGCACTGCCAGCACCTCCAGGATCACTGAGGGAAGCACGACGAGAGGCACAGGCACCTCTRTTCCTGGAGAAACTTCCACTGCAGGAACCCAGGCTTCAACATCTGCAACGACAACTTCTGAAGGTAAAATAAGAACCACCTTTGGCACCACAGCTGTCCCCAGTACCTCGGCCCCTGGCACAGAAGGCACAACTATCGTCGGTACCACCACCACCAGCACCTATCCCACTCAGACTGAAGGCACAACTGCCATCGCCCCACCAACAACAGCTGTGCCCACACCAGCCACCAGCACTGCCAGCACCTCCAAAACCAGTGCAGGAAGCACCACAAYACCCTCAGCCACCTCTGCTCCAAGAGAAATCACCACTGTTGCAACCCAGACTCCAACACCATCAAGTTTTGTCTCCACTTCACCTGAAATAAAATTAAAAACCACGTCCATGGCTGTCCTCACTACTACCCTTCCTCCATCTAGAAGTACCATAGGTGTTACAGGAACTCTTACAACATACTTTTCTCCTACTGTAGAAAGTACTACCACTGTTTTCTCTGGCACCTCTGTCAGCCCAGGTAGGTAATTTTCTACTTCTTGAAAGTTTTTAATCACTTTTTAAGTTAGAAAAATATTTGTATCTTGGTGTTCTGCATCTTCTTCTCTTAAACCAATCTGTGATTGCATGATTCTGTGACCATTTATAGTTCTTAAAACACATGAACCAATTTTTAATCTATCTGCACTTCTGTTACTAGGTTTGACAGCCGGATTAACTTAATAGTATTAATTCTTACTTCAAGGAGAAAGTTGAAACTTTAAAAAACTTTAGAGGCAAATGTCATAAGACTTGCCAAATTCCAGATATTATTCCAAGTATAGTGAAAAAATTTCCACAACATCCACTTATAATATTTGAATGCAACAAAAATGTTTATCTGATTTGCCAGKATATTGAAAAGACCTCTTGAATATATTAAAATTATTAGCTCAAAATCCTGTGCTGCAAACTAAATTATTTTCTGTGCTCAACAGTAACTTCAACTGGTACATCAAGTCATGTTACAACAAGCACTCCTACAACCTTCAGTTCTTCCACCAGCCCATCTGTTACATCCAGCAAAATAACTCCATGCTTTTGTCATGTATTTGACACTTTATTTTCTCCTGGTAAGTGTCTTATTTTATGATTATAAAAAATTTTATAAGCAACATAAACCCTTAAGACTCTATTCAATTAAATGTAACCACGCAAAATCATCTAAACATCAAACTTTTTGTGTATGAATACGGTTTATATTTTCACAGTTTTTTCTTGGTTTTTCTCATTTCTTATTGGTCTTGTAATTTCTCCTCCAATTTTCTCCTACAGGGGAAGTGGTGTACAACAGAACAGATAGAGCTGGCTGTAATTTTTATGCACTTTGCAGCAAGGAATGTGAGATTGAGCCATTCCATGGGCCATGTCCTTTGACAACTCCTGTCCCTTCAACTACACCACAAGCTACTTCACCAACCACAGCAACAACCCTCACAACTTCAGTAGAAAGAAACTGTACTGATGTCAATCCTTCACGAAAGGTGGTTTCCCTCCCTATTTTCTAATACACCACTGTTGCAAAACCAGATCAATTTCTGTCCTTTAGCAGCCAATTCAAATCAACCTCTATGTATCTCAATAACAAAGTTGGTCATGGAACAGATGACCTGATAGAACACAACTATTTAACCTAGCATTACCAGACTTTTAAGTAATCTCTAGGTGGAAAAGCACACTAAAATCTTGGCAGAGACTTTCGGTTTTAATAAAAGTAATTTATGTTTCATAGAAATAAGTAGATTAGCCATGGAATGTATAATACCATTTTTTTTTTATGCAGAAGAAAATTCTGTGGTTGCTCTCAGCATACCTGCTCCTAAATTGTGTGCTAAGATAATTCTAATCTGAATTTCCTACTAATTTTGAGAGTGTATCTTRACTTAAAACTGAAAAATTAGGTGAAAGAGCACTTAAGAATAAATAATTTACATATTTTCAGCCTGGAGAGGAGTGGATAAGTGATTGCCAAAAGTGTGTCTGTGACTCCCTCACTGCTACTGTGCAATGCCAGCCGCTCCCATGCCAGACACCTCAGCAAACAACTTGTGACCTAGGATTCGTTTCCATGGCTGTACTACCACAGAAAGACCCATGTTGTCCTGAATTTGAATGCCGTAAGTATTACAAATGCATGTATAAATGCCACACCATACATGCCAGTAAACTACATTTGCACCTCTCTTAATATCTAAGGAAGTTCTTCATGTATCACAATAACAGCAAAACCTTCCTTAAGCTGTTCTGTCTTAGTGGACACTCAGCAATTTTTGGCATTAAAGTTTTATTTTTAAGAAAAATGTTATTTTTAATTAATTTTGATGAAAGAAGRGGTGGGAGAGCAGAATAATATTTTGAACATTCATTGGTCTATGTAGCTCTGTACCTGTAATCATAAATGTTATCAATGCATCTTTTTCAGTGTTATTAATGTAATACTGGAGCACATTAACATTAGCCTAAATGCAACTAAGATGCACAAACATAAGAATAAGTCAGTAAAAATATTAACTACAAGACCAAATAATGGGAAGCAATAATACAAAGTGAATTGTAATCAGTAACCAAATTGTCAGTGTATGAAAAGTAATAATTATACTTACACTCTTGCCAGATGTTCATGAAAATTAAAAAGTCCTATAATTATATTAGTTTATATATAAACATACACTTTATTCTTTTGTACAARTATACATATATAAAAGTACCCATAAATTAAGCCTGAAAAAGGAAAGTCAAATCAAAGGAACAGGCAAGTTTGACAGTTTCTGTGGAAGATATAAATGGGTTCTGCCATATTATTAATTTTAAACTACCGTATTAGGAATACCTTTTTCCACAGAGTCAATCTTCCATAAAAGCCATGTTCTGCGAGGCCATAAAGAATCAATAACTAAAGCATCTTTGAATATCACTGGACTCCTAGGGTTCAAAGAGCAAACAAGTTAATTTAATTTGAATTGAACCAGGTATTGAAAGGGCAAAAAAGGGATTTTTCAGGCATAGGTCAAGTTTGAAGCCATTCCCCTCYGACTCTTCCAGCTAATTTTAATAACAAGGTCTTACTTAAACATTCAGCTACACTACACATGAAGTCTAAGCATGTTGGGGGATTAGATTAAAGTTTTCCATACTCTCTGTATTAGTAACAAAACTTGATAAAATCTTGACTTCTGAGGAAGTCTCACAATGTGAGTTATTTTGGAATTATTTTCTTATTTTGTTTTCYAGAACCAATACCTGATGTCTGTGTGATTAACGGAACATTGTATACGGTGAGAGTGATATAGCAGTGTATTGCTGGAAGTGCAAAGTACATCTTTTCTACCAAATTAAGTCTTAGAGAAAGTTCTTTTCCCAGTACATATTTTTTGGGTTTGGGTTTTTTTTTTCCTCCTCTCTAGCCCTTAATTGGAAGTTCTTTGGGTATTTTGATGTCAAAATCAAATTTGTCACAGAAATATTCCTCAATATGTACTATAAAACAAGTATGTCCTATTTTTAGTGATGTACTTTCTTTTTAAGCTTCCTCCCACTTCTGTAATTAATGACTTTGCCAACCAATCTGATTAATAGCCCAAATTAAATCACTCTTTGAAGTAAGTCCAGAGAACCTTAAAAAGAGCAAAGCTAATGTTTATCCTTCAATTGATACTTAAATCTTTTTGCTAAATCTGGTGGTTAGGTCATAATTTAAATATTAGGTCATAATTAAATATTTATATCTTTGGAGATACGTTTCAGAAAGACTAAAATCCATACGTAAATTTCTATCTCTGCTTATGCATCTGCATATGTAAAGACTTATTTTAATCTCTGGTTTAAAATTGTAATTGTTTTACAGCCACTGAACATAACTTGTAGAGAAAAAATATTCTTAAATGGAGCATTGAAAAACTGGTAACATAATTAGACAGTACAAACTAGTCTTAATTTGATTTCATTAATTTACTACTCCCTTTTACATTGCTTCATTTAGGTCCTCTTAATTTGAGCTTTCCTGCAAGCCATGAAGCCAAACAATTTTATGTTCAAAGAGAATTTGAGAATTCAGTGTCGTGACACTCAGTCATACTTGCATTTCAGCAACCCTAATGGTTCTCAGCAATGCTTTCAAGTCTATATTTTATAGAAACTATTGGCACTGGAATGTTTTATGGGKTTTTTTTTGTCTTGCAGGTTGGAAAGTCAGTAGTAATCGATTCATGTAAGAAGTGTACCTGCAGTTCCGAGAAAGATCCAGAGACCAATGCAAACATTATGCAGTGTGAAACTGTTCAGTGTGAGACATCTTGCCCACTGGTGAGTTCAGGTTCTCTAYGCTTGCCCAGTCAGCTACAGCAAGACTGGAATTCTCCATCACCAACTCAACACACTTTCTTCTTCATCTCTTTCTGAGTAGGGTTACCAATACATGATCGAGGAAGGAGAGTGCTGTGGCAAGTGTATTGAAGTAGCTTGCAAAGTCAAACTCAGTAACAACACTGTTCAAGTGCTCAATGTAAGTATTCCTTTCATTTTCAGAGCTCTCTGTTAGGACAGCTAAGAGTCAATTCATGTCCCTTACTAGCAAAAATACAACACTGAAATTACTGGGAAAACAACACACTMGTCTTTCTGAATCGAATACTTATCTGAAATCAAATTCTTGATTTGTGTGGTTAATGGGGCAAAATGGGGCAATGGTTTCTAATTTATGGTTTAAGTGTTCAGAGCCAGGAATTAATCTTTCAAGCTAGCTACAGTTGGCATGATTTCATTTTTGCCACTTGAAAGAAGTTCAGAAGCATCCAAGAATCTTTGAGAAATTAATTAGCTCAATTAATTAGCTCTAACATACTTGATCACAATGAAAAAAACAACTTTTGCTTTTCTTATAAAATCTTAGGTTAATGAGATCCTGCCACTCGATCAGTGCAGTCATTACAAATGTGAAAAAATTGAAGATCAGTTTGTTGCAGTCCAAACGAAAAAAGTATGCCCTGAGTACGAGCCTGGGGAGTGCGATCCTGTAAGTTTTAATCAATCTTTCATTGACTGAATTCAGTTTAAATAAACAAGGAGAGACAAGGAAGAATACGACAAATCATTTTCACTAAAGTTACACAAACGTCTTAAAAATGAAACTAGGTTTGCTCTATATTTAATAATAAGAAAAACATAGTATTTTCTTATGAGGCTACAAGCAATCAATTATCCTGTGGTGAGGATGGTAGATCATCCGGTTTTTCATTCAGGGTTCATCACAGAGAAGCCTTTTGCCCAGTATCAGTAACTCATATTATTACTCATGATTGCTATCTGTGCACTAACACAAATCCTCCTTCTTTACTTTTGCAAAGGATGAAACAGAGACTACTCCTGATGGCTGCTGCAAAATATGTAAACGTAAGTAATACTGTGTTTATGTGTTCTGCCTGAAGAGCACTGTATTCAGCTTGTAACTGTCTTTGAGTGGATGGAAAATTCTTCACTGACCCTATGTTTTGCTATTTATTCCAAAGAAAAATGCAATTTTTTTCCTGACATTGAACACCACAAATCAAACCAGCAATGCTCAGGTCTCTGCATTATCTTCCAAAGGCACTTTACAGCTGAAGTCAAAGATTAATCTGATGGCTCCATACACATTACGCAGCACCTACTCCATCACATACTGTAGATTCTCAAAAATCAGGCATCAAGCACTTTGAAACTGTTATAGCATTCCTTTAATTCTGAACTAGAGAATTGAAATACGTTTTCTCTCCTCCCCTCTTTTTATGAAGCTACAAAGTGCAAGCCTTACAGCAAGAAAACTGTGATCCGCCATGCTGACTGTGAGTCCTCTGAACCTGTTGAACTGTCATATTGTGAAGGAACTTGTCCTGGCTCCTCAGTGTAAGTTCTAAAAGTTAATTTAACATCTCTATGGCTTCCTATGTATTAGTCTTTCAWGTTAATTTACCACCCAAGGGCACTAAGGGAGCTGGAGAAAGAGCTCACCGAGCCACTTTTGATTATGTCAGTGGTCCTGATTAACCATGGAGGGCCCGGTTGACTGGAGGTCAGCAAATGAGATGCCCATCTACAAGAAAGGTTGAAGAGAGGATCCAGGGAACTACAGGCCTGTCAGCCTGACCCTGGTATCAGGCAAGTGCATGGAGCAGATTGTCTTGAGTGTAAACAGARAGTACATATAGGGTAAACAGGGGTTTAGGTCCAGCCAGCATGGATTTGTGAAAGGCAGCCTGCTGCTTGACCAACCTGATCTCCTTCTATGACAAGCTGACCCCTTAGGGGGTGAGGGAAAAGTTGTGGATCTTGTTTACCTGGACTTTCATAAAGCCTTGAGCCTTAGGGAAGTGATTAACCCCCTGTAGTGAGCCCTGGTCAGGCCACACATCAAGTGCTGCGTCCAGTTCTGGGCCTCTCACTTAAAAAAAGACATTGARGTGCCAGCGTTTGTCCAAAGGGCAACAGAGTTGGTAAAGGGCCTGGAGCACAAGTCTTGCGGGGTGTTTAACATGGAGAAGGAGGCTCAGGGGAGCCATTCACACTCTCTACAACTGCCTGAAAGGAGGGTGTAGTGAGGTGGGGGTTGATCTCTTTTCCTGGGTAACAAGTGAAAGGATGAGAGGAAATGGCTTCAAGTTGCACCAGGAGGGGTTTAGATTGGATGTTAAGAAACATTTCTTCACTGAAATGGTTGTCAAGCACTGGAACAGGTTGCCCAGGGAAGTGGTTGTATAACCATCACTYCAAGCATTTTAAAACCATGCAGGTGTGGCACTTAAGAGACATGGGTTAGTGGTGGAATTGGCAGTGCTGGATTAATGCTTAGACTCAACGATCTGGAAGGTCTGTTCCAACCTCCATGATTCTATGATCACAGAATAACAACAAAGTTAATTGGATTCAATGGAAGCAAGAACAGTTTCCCTATCAAAGACAGAGATAATGAAAATAACTGTGTGTGAGAGGAAGGAAAAGAAGATGTTAAAAAAACCCCAAAACCAACCCAAACACTTACAAAACAAATGTCACTGAGGGGGTTCTCTGTGTCAGCTTTTAATGAGATGCATTTTCTTTCCTGGTGGAATACAGGTACTCTCTTGAAGCAAACCAGATGGAACACAACTGTGGTTGCTGCCAGGAACTCAGCACCGAAACAAGAGAAGTGACCCTGAGCTGCCGAAACGGAACCAGCATAAATTACAGCTATCTCTACGTGGAAAACTGCCAGTGTGTGAATGCTTGCTCTGCACAAGACTCTGCAGCACAAGACTCCCAAATCCAACAATTTGTAAAATACAGCTCCCCATTGCAACAGGCTGTATCACTTGGTTCCCAATGGCAACTCAGCTGAAGATATGATCACTGGGAAAGTAAGCAGGGATCCTAGGGAAGCKGGAATCTTGTGTTCCCCAGAATAATCTGTGCTCCTTCTTTAAGATTTTTTTTTCATTTCTTACTTATAAAAAGAATAAAAAAAAAAGTCAAGTAATTACAGTGTTTGGAGGTTTTTTTCAAGTATTACAGTATTGAAGGGCAAAAACATGACTGTGCAAAATACCTTGTGTAAGTTACAGAAACATGCAAACACATTTATACTTGATCACAAAACCTATATTGGGGTAAAAAGAATTAAGGGGTCTCTAAAAATAAAGCAAGAAAATACTGCAGCTACATTGCACTTCTTGTGCCTAGTGAAAGCTTTACTGCATGTCCTTTTCATAGACAAAATGTTCCTAACACATCTCAGTGACAGGGACAAAGCTGTTTTTTTCTATTTGATCAATAAAACTTTCAGTACTTCAGTACTTCTCAATTACAGTGACTGTCCAATACCTATCTTCATTATCTAAATGACAGAGAGTCCAATAGTGTCAGGAAGTTTTCTAACTCAGAGGGATATATTCTCTAGCAGCCTTTGGAAATACAGCCCTCTTCCTGGACTAAGTAAAATTCCCTCACCCATGTCAAAATAGCTCTTCCCACTGGCACAAAAGGTACAAAGACAAAAAAACCCAACCCTTTCCAGCTCCTTTAGTTGGTTCCTCATGCGTTGTATGGACTTCAAATGTGCTCCAGCTACTCAAACATCACGGAGCAGTGTGAAGGACCTTGCTACCACTCCATCCCTCAAACACTGCTGCATGGCCACCTGGCTTAAGTCCAGCAAGCCTTGGTTTAGCCCTTTTCCCCTTTCAACCAATTTAAAGCTCTTTCAATGAGCACTGCATCCCTGTGCAAAGATCCTTATTCTCTGAGACAGGTGTAGCCCAAGTATCATCTGCTAGTTCTTCTTGTTTCTTCCCTCACCATTCCCTGCAACTCAAAGGATAAAGAACACTACCCATGCTCCTGATCCCATAGTAACCAGGTGTCCCAAGGCCCTGAAATCCCTCCTGATCATCCTTGGCCTTCATATTTCAAACTTCAGCACGGCCTACATGAGAAAGCAATAACGGATAATAATGCAAGGGCTGTACCAGAGCTGAAAGTTTCCTCATCGCATCTCTAAACCAGACCCCTGGGAAGCAGAAAACTTCCTTACAAAGTGGGCCTCACCAGGAAACTGGACCTTGTGCTCTACTCACTAGAGGGTCTCCTATGCCAATACCTCATCTTTCTTTCTGGAAGTTTTGACACATAGGGGAACTTAACCTTGGCAAGTGTTCCAACACATCATACTCACCCTTGCTTGGTTTCCACTTGCAGAGCCTTGTACCTATTACACAAGGGCACCTGGGAAAGTGGAGCAGTCACAGAGGAGTGTCCCAGCTGTACCAGGCAGGAACTTGGCACCACACCCCTCACTGCACCACGTGCTCTTGTAACTGCTTAGTGAATACCTTTGAAAATAGCATTAAGCATTTCAAATCAATGAATACTGAATATTCCACCATAAGATGATGACTATTACAGAGATTACAAATTTACAAATTTAAGGGAGAAAAACACTGTCCTGTGACAGTGTCAAGCTCCTAATAATCCATAAAGAAACATGGCCAGCAAAGACATGAAAGGTAAGCTCAGTGTACTTTTTTACTCACTGGGGTTATTTTATAATTGGAGATAATTTCAAAATAAAATGAATCATCCATTCCCTTTCAGTGATAATTACATTAAACTTATAAAAGCTGTCCATTTGTATCTACTATGCTGAAATATTTTAAAAACATGTTCTAAGTGAACTCTTTGAATACTTCAAACGTCAGTACTTTCATAGTTCTCTTATCCATGGAAATACAGATATAGCAAAGATAATTTTCAATCTACTTGCTTTTCAAAAATTCACTTTTCCCATCTATGTGCAAATTTTCCTTCAAAAGTTATGGTATAACATAAGTATAGCCTCTTTGTTCTTACAAAATTAATTATGCTTTTTGGCAAGATAGTAAAGAAAATACTTCTAAAACATACTGCTGCATGAAGATAAATTAGCTTGCGTTTCTGACTAAGCTTCCTGAGGATCTAGAAGAGAAAGCTCAAGTCTTCAGTAGGCTACAACTAAAATCTGCAGTGAAGATTGCTAATATGGGTTTTCATTTTCCCTTCCTMTTCTAAGAAAACACGTATTTGCACTTCTCCTAGAGGCCCTGCTCACATTGATGCTCTGAAATGCTTTAATAATTCAAAATACACTGATTTCTCTTTACACCCCCACACATCATCACTGATTAACTCTGAAATGAAAAAGCTAAAATACAGAATGCTAAATAGATGCTTTAGCAGCCACAAGAACGCCAACATTTTTCTAAAGTAAACTAATTCTCACTCTTCCTATCTCTCACAGCAAAATGGAGAAATGTGAAAGCAAACTGTAACCTTTGAAGATAAATTGGGATAGAAAGTGATACTCAAAGACTAGAAAAAAGCATAATTTGAACCGTTTTATTTCATAGTAAGTACTCAATACATTAAGGAAATAAAGAAAATTCAGCTGTGAAAGAATTCCTCTCAACTATCATGTTAAAAAAAAAACTGTTCGTTAGAAAAAAAAAACACGATGAATGGACAGTAAAACTCAAAATGTTAGCTTRATAACACAGTAATAGAAGAGAGACTAGAAGTTGCTTAATGATCACAATAATCATAATAATAGCAATGGTAATGCTGGTAATAATAATAGCATGGTAATGCTATTTGAGAAAGAGGGCCCCAGATAGCTTTGCAATCACAGTACTAGAGAGAGATGCTATGCAAACAAAATCTTTCGAATTCATTTATTATGTATTAGCAGATAAAGCCAGTTCTTTTTGGACCTGGAATTGCACACAAGTTCTATTTAATAATTCTCCATTTGGACACCACTCTCATCCAGAGTCCTCCATTCTTCACACTGCAGCATTCCCTCCATACCCACACACTGTTCTTCCCTCCTCCCTTGCCCTCCAACGCTGTGCTTCAAACAACACAGCTTCACTACTGCCTCCTCCTGTCCTCTGGGCCTGCAACAATGGAATATTTTAAGAAAGTAGCCCCTAGAAAAGTTAGGAAGAGGCACCTACCTGCAGAGGAACTCTTTTGAGCATTTACTGTTACTATTCCTACCAGACAGTCACATTAAAGAGCCAGTGTAATTTACCAACTAATGTGCAATACTGAATAAAAGACAGTAAGTAAGTGATACTTGAATCCTAGATCAGTCTACAGACAAAGACTCACACCGTGCTGCTCTCCAACAGAGACATAATACACTTTCATTCAGATGATACATTTATTAAATTAGAATGAAAAAGTTAATGTACTTTAGAGTGCAAGAAACATTATTTGGACACTGGACCTCAATACAGAGAAACAATGTCTTCAGAATAATTACAGCAAAAAACATCCTCTGTACGGTATTACATATCAACCAAATAGGCAATAACATTTGTAAGGGGGGAAGAAACCCATTCAGTACCATCAGCAGATGCAAAGAGCAGTAGAGAAGTTGCAAGGATCTAGCTAGACAAAAAATGTTCCTACCTTCAGCAAGTTGAGGCTCTTGGCAGAAGAAACTATACTAAGAGCACYAACTTTTAGCAGATGCCCGTCTTACACAGCTGACTTTGGCTCCAAGCTGCTGGAAGCATCAAACACAGTATAACCCCATTAGCATTTTCTTAAAAGCTACAATCATGACTGACAAWTTTAAATATTTTAAGTCTGTTTTAAATACAGAAACACACTTTCAGTTCCAATACCTTAACTTCACAGAACCTAAAATAAGTAAACACTCCCTGTCTTTTTTCATCTCTCTCCAAACCAACAACAAACAGCTTAAATGGAAGGATATGCATGTGAAAAACTGAGCAGGCTTATGATTTTGTTCTTTTTAACAAGAGAAAGTAGCACATCTTGATGTAAGAGTTTMGTCTCTAATGTTTAATTAAATAAAGACTAAAAAAAACCCACTGAACAGTATTTAAGTATAGTGTAAGATACTGAAATCCATCTACTGGCCACACTGCTCCTACATATCCCATTTTCAACTCATACATGTACCCTGTTTTACATAACATTTGCTTAGGGAAAAAATACACACCAAAAATATATCTAAGAACAGGAGTCTCCATCAGAGGCCAAGAGCCCAGTTTATGAATAAACCTGGCTAGCCTAACTTTTGTACTTACTTTTGAAAGATGGTTTTGTTCTATGTTTGAAATGGAGCTATAATAGAATACACTACAATTTACCAGCCATAAAGTTGAACCATGACCACTTGCTTTTATGAAAAGCTGTATTAGGAATCCCACCGTTTTAATATAAAAATTTAAATATGTACATTTTTCCTGAATTGTTCCAACCCTAGCAATTCATGCTATCTGTGTAAAAGTTAGAGCAACGGACTCTTCCTGGAGGTATCTAAGAATTAAATCCTTACCAACATTCATCCTTTCGGGTCATGATGTCACAAAACACTGCTATGGAGACCAAGTGCCTCTACACCTACTCAATCACAAAATTTACCGTCATTGTAGGGAAGGGGCAAGGCTAGTTTCTTGTAYAATACCCACTTTACTTTAAAAAACAGAAGTGTGGCAACTCTACAACTAGAGCACACAGAAACTATAGCCTTGAATTTTATTAYCAAAAATCCAATTGGAGGATGTTTAAAGACATGCTTTCAATGTGAAATTTAAGATGTTAAGGGATTCATAACAAAACTTAAAACTGTACATTATGAAGACAGCTTTAAAAGGCCAGAAACTGGGATGATTTTTGGTGCTGTATTTTAGAAGTTTCAGTATTATTTTGAATGATAAAAAAATAAATATTCATGCTCTACTGCCAGTGCTACCTAAAGGCTACTTGAATGTAGGCTAGGGGAGAAGAAAATAAAATCAGCTTTCCATCAGATAATAAAGAAAATATTTTAAGCATAGGACATGAAATAAAGTATGGGGAAGAAGAAAATATGGGTTGTTATTCCCTATTCCAAACCTGGCTTTAATGTTCTCATGAATCACTCAAGAGCCTAGATTTCAAATGTACATTCATTTCAACTCTTGAAAATATAAAGGTCTATGGCTATTGTAGAAAGTATTTGAAATCAAACATTAAAGAGACAAAACAGCAACATTGCACATCACTGGAAAAATAAATTGGTGCATACTATTTAAAGTGCATTACTTTACAAAAACAGACACCGCAGAAATTCACCCAACAGGTATAAGTGGTGCATACTGTAAGATTCTGCAGCTCCAAAATCAACTCTTATTTGAAAAAAWTACACTAACAATAAATATAAACACTTCCTCTGAGGATTGGACTGTAACTCAGATATGTTAAATTGTCTCTCACAAAGTATTTTATTTCCATCTGCATCAAATAATAATAAAATGACTACAGCAGCTGTAGTCTAAGAAGTCACTGAGCAATTCATAATGCCATTCTAAGACCCTGAAGCTACTTTTCATGCTTATTTCTCATTACAGGAAAAATACAATCATTTTCCCATTCATGTAAAGCAATAACTTTACTGAAACATAGATATAAAGAAAGAAGCCTTATAACCAGATMAAAGATTTCTGCTTTTTAATGTAAGACAATATCTTAAATAATTCTTTACGGCTTCAATAATTTTCCAGGTATAAGTATCTCTCCTTCTGCACTTATCCTTTGAAATAGCCATGGGAATGCAGAAGTAGTAGTTAGAGTGCAATTAACTGTGGGAGTACATTAGGGCTTAGTCCTGTTCTCTGATACAGCAATACATACTGTAGGAATTAAAAGTTACCTCTTAAGATTTTACAGATACCTATTATGTGGGAGGACAAAGCCCCAAATGCACACCAGAAAATATATTGCTTTGGTGCCCAATGACTGGATTGAACAGAAGATGCCCATTACAAATACCAAAAGCACAATCTAAGAAATTTAGCTTATTAAATTAAAGATATTCTAGCTGAAAGGTGTGAATATATCACAGTAGTAACTAAACACCACAGGATAAGAAAGCGTCTCTTCTTAAATTTCTGGCAAAAATAGGCTGCTTGCTGAAATCTAAATACTTTTAGCAAATCAGTTGTGTTTAAAGAGCAAAACCTTCCATGGAAAGATTTTCTTTTCCAATCTAACAAACACTAGTAAATCCTGCACTGCATAGAGTTACTTTGTAAGAGCAAGTTTATGGAAAGGGGGAAAGAAAGAAACAAAGCAGCATTATTCCCCACCCCACCAGAACATAGCCACACAGGGCACAGCTGATAGATGCTTCACTGCTCTACTGTAGGACACAAGCTAAACTGAGTATGTACAGACTGAGAAAGAAAGAGAAGAAGATCCAAATGTCCAAGGAGGAAAGGGGTATGATCTGTCACATGCGATGCACTAACAGAAAGCTGTTGGGAAATTCTTCCTCTAGCTAAATCCCTGGCTTGGCAAGTAAAAATAAGTGGCATCAAGGACGGGGACTATGCAGGAAGTGGGCATCTATGATTCTTCAGCCATCTGAAGTAAGGAGTTGATAGCTGCATCCTTGTTCCCCCTCTGAGCTTCTAGCACTGTGCGGATTACTTCCCTGTCCATGTTGGGAAACATGTCCTGGATAGATTTCAGGTCCTCTTCATTACACAGGTGCTGAGGGTTGACCGCAGGAGGTGGTAATGCCACTGGTACCATGCCTGGATTACAGACTGCAGGCATCCCTACAAGTTAAAAACAGAAGAAAAAAGCCACAAAACATACATGAGTAGGGGGGGAAAGAAAAAAAAAMAMAAACAAATTCACAACAAAAAAACCCAGTGATTTTGAAGACAAAAGCAGCGGATGATTGTCCCAACCCACCAACTTCAGCATTTATTTATTTTAACATGCTCATCTTTTAATGAGGAGGAAAAAGAAAAAGGTTGCAGAGATTATACCTGCACTGTTGCAACTGGAAAGTATTTTCCTGGAATAGCTCCTCTCCCTAAGGTTATATTGCAGAAGTTATAAGCTACAGTATGGCAACAGGTACTGTTCAAAATTAGGTACAAGTTGCAGTAACCAGGTTCACACATAATTCACTCACCAAACACTAAGCTCATCACAGAAAGGCGCAGCTGATTTTCCCCACTTCGTATTTTAGTTCTCAATATATTTATGTGGTGATGAAAAAAAAGGGTTTTACACCAGCAATATACATAGCTGATATTTAGAAAGTCAATGAATGCAATMTCCAGTACATTCAAAGGAAAGCAAAGTACTTTGGTACACCAGGAGACTGGACCACATAAATAAGCAATTTTTAGCAAGTGTTTTCCGTTTCCAGTCTGCAAAGTCACTACGTGGCTAAAGAGCAACACCTATACAGGCACACACTGCTTTGCTCATCTCTCTTCCAAAGGACAAAATTTATCTGACCTGACATTTTTCATTGACTTCCTRTATATCCATGTAAAATAAAGCTATGTCAGTTATAGAGTTTTAGAAAATCAGTTTTCCAATTCCTGTTGAAAGGAATTACTAGGAAAAAAMCCCTTTTCATCATGTAGGAACTTTTATCATTAAGTATAAATCCATTGATGAAAATACTACCTTTTGTTTAGTGTACAACTGAAAACARATATAGTCCATATCTATAGTCTTTCGTTATCACTTCTGAAAATGGTGTATTTTATTCCTTCTCTATGTAGCTTCAGATCCTTGATTATCTTAGTCCCACTCATTTGGGTGCTATCTTCTGCAGTTCTCCTGTAGAATTCCTAAGGTTTCATTTCTAACATTTCTTTTGGTTTCAAGCATTTTATGCACTGTTTCAAAGACTATTCACCTGGTATTTTTATAGAGTAGTCTACAGTAATTCAAAGACCAGCACAGTAATGACCAAATCGAGAAATTATCACCAAATATGTATTAGTTAAGATGATTCTTTATACATACTTTAACACTAGACTTAATAAGTAATTTTATTTTTCTTTTATTACAATGAGGTCCTTCTGCAACCTGCTGCACTCAGAGAGACTTAGAAAACTGTTAAGTTTTTGTTTTGACAAATTGTCTATTAGTCCTCTTCCCTCACKTACTTTTTTAAGAAATCTGATGCACCTCACCAAAGCAGGTGCATCAGATTCAACTCCTTCCATCAGGAAATGAGTAATCACTTTTATTTATTTGTTCATCAACTTTTCAAAATAGCTATTAAACCATAATATTACCTTTATTGTATCAGAATATTATGACAGAATGATTAGCAAATAACATTTTCGAGATGCAGCTGAGAAGGTGATATACAGAGACTACACCATTCTTTCTTACATTCTCAAATACCTATGAATTTTAACACACAGGCTTTACCTACACAACTGTGTCACTTCCTCCTAAAGTTTAATTATTTCAGTTTCAAGCAGCTTATTCTAGTCTTCCTGGGGTTTAACCATTCTATACAATAGAGAAAATGGTTACTTCAGAAATGTTTTTAAAAGGAACTTCACTTGGCTCACCTCCAGTCCTCTGAAAGCAGGACTTCCCCTATTATGATCCCACATTCCAACTAGGTTTTCTTGAACTACCTTACATACTTATGTTTTTATTATCATTTAATTACATAAATGATTTCTGCTTCTTTAAAATAAATAGTTCTCCAGTTTTTACACATATGATCTTCAAAAGCCTTGTTACTCAATCTCATAACCAGTTTAGATTTAATATATCACTTAACACTTTCACATCCCCATATATAAAAGGCCTTCTTCAATTTTGACTTTAAAATTTCTCTTTTAATCATCTTAAGTACTATTACAAGAAGAAAAAAAGAACCTAGAAGCTTTAAGTCTAACACACAGGATGCATCCATTCAAYGAAGTTCATACCGAGCCATAAGCTCATAAATTTCTTACCTGCACACTCGACCCATGTTTCTGCCCGGCCATCTGCATCACCCATCTACCACTGATACCTGTTCCCTTTTCTGCAACACCCTAAACCTTGGCTCTACTGCTTTTCATGCACTTTGGACCCTAGTCCCTGGAATTCTGCCTGGYACTATGCATTTGAACTTGTTGCCAACCAGACCATGAATGCCCTCTGGAGACAAACCACTGTGCAGTCCTCACCAACACTGCAAAAACACTTTAACCAATAATCCAGCAGCATTTTGCACTGCCTTTTCCAGAGCTTCAGCAAGGCTCAACTCATTCCTCACACAGCCTACAATCTAGGCATTTAAAAGGCACATAAGATGATGTGCAGCCTCAAAAAAAAAACCAGACTGAAGTTGCAAAGTACCTGAAAGAACAGTGCAACAGAAGTTATGTTTTACTTCTAACATAAACTTCCCAATCTTTTTTGCTAAGTCATCAGCACCTTAATATTATCCAACAAACAGCCTAAAGTGTGTATGAGCTGTCCTTACAGGAGGTCAGTTGACAGTATTAATCCAAATTAAATATTAGGCTCTTTTCTCAAGTATGACAGCATCCTACAGCTTACCAATAACRCCAGTAATGTTTCAGTGTCTTACCAGTGTCAAAATAAAATCAAGATTAGAATACAGTTTTCCTTACTGTTTTCATCTAAAATAGGTATTATGAAGCCAGACATCTGCACAGGCAATACTCAAAAAGCATTTTCAATATAAATAGTCARTTTAAGACACAAGAAATTTCTCTACTGTATTGTTTCTCACTAAGGATTTTCAAAACCCATTTTCTCAGCTCTTACAGTTTTAGTTCATGCTGTCTACACCTACACTGTGTACAAATGGAAGTTAGTATCACAGATTTTTAATAAATACCTCCATGATAAATCCTTACTTTTCATGAAACTCAACATTCAAGCTATACAAATASCAGTTCAAGAGTACTTTGGGTTTTTCCGCACTCAGGCTAAAAGCATCCATAATTTCTGATTTACAAAATACTAAGTAAGAAGTAAACTTGAAGAACTATGCACTTAAATTTAGCAAACAGACATACATATGCAGTCATCAGAGAAAGTTATAATAAGCTTCCAAATTATCAATGTTCAGTAAAAAGCTGCTTCATGTCACTGACAGGCAGGAAACAGAACTAAACAATGCACAAATCCACTAGCAATGGAATCGTGGACTTCTGTGTTACTGTCAGATATTAGATAGGTGTCATAAATCAGAAGAATGGAGCACTGTTTTCCAATTCAGTGAAATGGCAATGGCAAACATGCTGGCATAAGCAGTGACATTCCAACATATGAAACAATAGCAAGTCAATTGCTCAAAGCAGCAGTGAAAGCATCAAAGCAGAATTAACAGGGTAAATGTTTTCTAACTGCATACAAGGCATTACACACTTGCAATTTTTTTTTTTTTTTCAGTAACTGCCCTATGTTTAATTTCTTAAGTTATTATCATTCTGTCCCATGCACAGACTCTTTCAGAGTCAATTCAGGAACCTTCTCAGCATGCATTCTTTCATTTAAATTAAGAAATCAGTAACCCTTTTCTAAAAAGCACAGTAGGTCTTAATGATATTTGCTTCAGGAAAAATCTTTAGTACCAAAATATGCATGCCATCTCATTTTTTTTAAATGTTGCTTCTCTGCAAACTACTAGAAAAATTAAGTGTATGGAACAACAGAAAAATGCTAAAATTTCACTGCTCTGAACAAACCAAGCATGTTGTGATAACCACAACAGTTTCATCTACAGCATCTTTCTGAAGTTCAGGGCATCAAGAAATGACATTATATCTCACAAGGARTCATTCTAGAATTTTCTGAATGTATTTGACTGAAGACCAATGCTTTGGGTCTTCAGTCAAAGAAGATAGCGGTGTCACAGCATCTTTGCACAATTCAAAATCAAAGCTGTCAGAGTAAAGGAAATCTAAAATGAAGGAAATTTGATTTCCTGTAACATGAGTTCCCTGTTTAGAGCTCTAGTCAGGTACTTAATTTGACATGGATCTAAAACTGAYGTGCAAGCAAAAGATGCACTGATGAAAAAAAGTGTCACCTTTTAAAAAAAAGCTTATTTGAAGACTAATTAAGGAATTAAAATTAGGGCAATTGGCAGGTTGTCTTCAGTATCATTGCAAAACTCCATTTTTCGCTAAAAAGTTGAGACATTACCTGCATCTCCACTAATTTTGCAGTAGCAGAACTGCAAGAATAATGTTTCTCTTCTAGAAAACCAATACAATCACCTAGTATAGCTCACTGACATACAACAGCTTCAGAAGACTATTACAACACCACGATAGCCATCAACACARTTATCAGCAGTCAGTTTAACCATTATAGCTTTAAGCTGAGCAGATGCCTTTAAAGACTTTACAACAGGTTAGAGAGGTTTTAAAAATTTCCAGAAGACGCATTAAATTGTTCCACTGTGACAACCAAGTGGCAATACCTTGTGATACAGTTGGCTGTTAACAAATAAAGCTGCTTATGTGAGTTCATGCAAAGACTCTCGAGTCAATGAKGATGGGAGTGAGAAAAGAGCTTGGAAACTTACCCAGAGCAAAGTACTCAAGCCCTAAAGACAGGTGGAAATGAAGGGACAAGSGGGAAGGAATAAGACATGGGAAAGAGATATTAATCTATTTTTTAAAGGATATAATTATTTACCTTCCAAAGGTGAAAGCTGGATAAACTGAGGTAGTTGGGCAAAACCCATTAAAAAACTAAATGCCTTTAGGATCCAGTCTCTCAACTAATTTGCTTCTGCTCCCTAAACAAGTTTCTTAAATGTGTTGTTTATGCAGAAGTAACAGAGGAAATGTTGCCGAAGTAAGTACGCCACCRGGTGCTAGCAGCAAGGATTATATTTTACAGAACACAAAGGACAACATACATCCATGGTTTTCTGAATACAAGTTAGATCACAAGTTAATCCATAATTCTAAATAAGGAGACCTACAGGAAAAATGTAAATATACACACAACCTTGCCTCAATGAAAAGTGATATTCTTGAATCTGACATGACTCTGAAACACACAGGTTTTTAACATACTTTTAACACGGGTGTTCATAAAATAAATAAAAAACAAGTTTCCTATTTATCCCATGAACATTTAGCTTATAAGAAACACAGCTTGCTTATTGAACTAACATTTTTTAGTTCGCTGTCTCTGGTACTGTTCCCTACAAGAAGATACTTCAAGCACCAGTATATCACAATATTTATTCTACAGCTTAAATTCAGTAATCTATAGAAAAAGAAACAGGAAAAGATGGTAAATAAGCTCAACTTCTGGAAGAACAACAGGGTTCACAAGTTCTAATTTTTGCATACCCAATCCAGAGATGTATGAACTATGGCAACTGTAGCTTGTACCAACTAGTGCTGCTGTCAGGAGTTTTCAATTAAAAAAAATTTGCAATTAATTATCATGGTGCAAGAATATTCTATGGCCACTTATGGTGTCAACACAGCTCTATCTACCACCAAATGTGAGGAAATGAGCATTACTTGTGTTCATCTGCTTACACAGTGACTACCTGCTTGCTTCTGCAGTTGACCTCAGCTTGTATAACAAAGYACCAGAGGAATTAGCTGCTTCAACATTAATTAGAAGGCTAGTTGATTAGGAAGTTAGTTTTGAACAGAGGTTTCCTGTTACATAAAAACAGCATGATCTTTGTGACACACATAAAYTTGACTTAACCATCTCTCTTTAAAGCCAGTTATTTTGAATAGTTAACAAATAATTTAAACTGTCTGGATAAGCATTTTAGTCCACCACTCTATTTCCATCACTGAGAAGGCTTTGATTTTGAAAGTCTTCTGCTGCAGAATCCCCTCCATTTCAAATACAATAAACTATGCAGTGATTCCACTCTTCAGAAGGAAAAAAGAACTTGTTTACCGGCTACATTAATTCAGCTGTACAGGTAAAAAACCTGAACTAAAAAGATGCAAASAAGGAACATACTGATGTCCAATCACTGCCCTACTTGAAGCAGTCTCAAAAGGAAGAGAGCAAACACCGTACAGTTCCAAAGGAAATGTGCAGAGTGGGCCCAGAAGACATAAACAGTTCAGTTATGCAGGGAAGCCCAGCATCTTGCATGCATCTTTCTGAAAGAGTTTACAGAATCCAGAAGCATCTAGCTCAGTATATAGACAATAAAAAACTCCAATATGTCTTTCAAGATGCACTGTTGTTTCCTTTTATAATTTGAAATTACTTTCATTAAGCCATTAGATGTATGAAACAGCAGAAGTATTCTGCAGCCAAATCATTTTCCAACTCCAAACCTAAACATCCGTCTAATCATTATGAGTGGGTCATTGATTAGTGAGTAAGTCAAAGCTTTAGAACTCACAGTGCTTTGGGAAATTTTGATGATGTCCAGAGAAATTCTAGAACAGCAAACACAAAGCACAGTAATATTTAAAAATAATTTAAAAAATCAAATGTAGGCCAAAGGTGGTTTGTAAAAAGTTGGCATTTATGAAGTACAAGGAAGTATAAGCTTTCCCAGAACAAAAGAAGAGTTCAAATCCAGGAGTGGAACTTTGCAATGCTTTAAAACTACAAGTCACTGATGAAGGAAGGATTTTTAATACAGAATAGCATTATAGCAGCAATTAATACAAACATACTGGAYCTTGGTAGAAGGGCAATGCTCCAACACACAGACCCCAAATTCTTAGATGCTAAAATGTCAGACATTACTATCACTTGCAAATTATCAGTTATTTCTTCACTTGTCCAAATAGAGAACATTCTCAAGATAAATAATTTACAGAACATCAAGATCTGAACAACCAATATTTGAATAGCAATTTTGAAGGTCTTCTATCAGTTTTATCTGTTCAGTTCTATGTCTAGTTTTAATTATACATGAAACTAGTCTCTGTTTCATTTCTTCTGTTTATACTCTGGCAAAAAAAAAATGTAATATGAATATTCTCATTTTGATCTATTCAAGAAATTTGCTAGCACTTTCTATTAGATCTTTTAATTATACACAAGATGAAGTGTGTATAAAACTGTGTTTGAAGTTCACTACAGAAGGTCCAGTTYACCACAACAGAATCGCCCTTCAGAACGATTCATTCCATTTCAAAGCACTTCAGTGGCAAAGCAAGCAAGACTTAAAATCTGACAATTAAGCTACAGAGACAAAATCACTTTAAGTGCAGCAAACTGCATGTTGTCATCAGGAAATAAAATATGCAGCCAAACTTTTCCATATTTTGCTTTAACTTTACTAAGATGAAACAGGAGGTACGAGTCCTAAGTTACGAATCCAGTCTTCTGTTGAAGAGGTTTGTTTTCACAGTGAATAGAATTTTATAGTCAATCATCCCCTAGTCTTACAAAAGAAAAATAAAATAYATGTATCTGCTATCTCAACCCTTAGCACTGCAATTACGTCCCACACACTCTTTCATTTATACACTTACACACACAAAAGCAAAAAACACRTGAATTTATATCCTACTTTCCCTAAAAAGTACATTTATTATTGAATAAATACCCATACAATGAACTGGGGGTTTTAAGAGTTGTAAATGAAGTCAACYGAACTTATCAGTTCCCTAAGTAGGACAAATTCAAGCTTATTTAAATAATTTAAGCTTTTCATCTTTGACAGAAAAATTACAAAACCTAAGTTAATACATCTTTTTCTACAAGTCCTAAACTCTTTGAACCAACCAAAAGCACTGAAAATACCTGTTGTAGTTATGTAAATACATCAAAAAGAGCTATCTCWGAGTTCCCTAACATTTCTCATTCACTTAGCTGTGAATACTTCACATGCTGTGTAGTAAGTTTCATTCTGATAAAGCATCTTCAAAGACCACAGACAAATTAATCCCATTACGAGCTATAGAAGCAGTTTCAACAGCACAATTCATTTGGGGCACTTTCTCAAACGCAAACAGCTTCACACATGGCTTGCCACCATTTAAATAAGCACACATTAAGAGTGCAGCCTGCTAGATAGCTATTCAGTAACTTGATCTAAAATACATACTCAAAAACAGATGCCTTCACAACCTGATAGTCACGTTAATCCATTTATTCAAACTCATGCGGCTCCATTAAACAAGGTACAAGACTGAAGGCTGACCTGCACTTAATTTGATCCTTCTTTTCATAAAAATATAAGATGGCAAAAGTAGTTAAAGAAAAATTGTTTATAGCTTCCTTTACACTCTGAAAAAAACCAGGAGTAATTTGGTATTTATTTCTGCAAAATCCTTTCATCTGGAAATTTCAGAGTCTTCAAGGTGAGAAAACATACCTGCTATAGGCACATATCCAACTCCTTGTTGATACACAGTGGGCATCAGGACCACTGGCTGGGGCTGCATCATCATGGCAGCTGGCAAAGACTTGACAGAAAAAGCACAGATTAGAACACATTAGAACTACTCAGGAAATAGCAAAGAAAAAGCCAGCAATCAAACTTGTTTGCACACAAGTCATCACATTGCAAATCCATGTTCAATAGTACAATATGACTATGCTGAGTGCTAATCTATATTAAACAAAATATCTGGCAAACTAATTGWACTACCATCTTTCAAATGACAATTAATTTGCCTGTGAATCAATAAAAACACATCATGTCAAACTAGCCTTTCACAAGAGTAATGAAATTTTGTTATCAAAAAGTGAATGATTTTAAAATACAGTTCTAATCAGCTTTCATGCCTTACTCTTGTGAAATGAAAAGACAACATACTCGTAATAAATTAAAYATTAAGCAAAATCTGAATTTTATTCTTATTTTTTGTTTTTAAAAGCAGTATACTGCTCCTAGAAATTTTCGTTTAATTTTATTTTAAATCAGTTATTTTTGAGGTAAATCAGTGCTTCAAACAAAGCACCAAATTAACTCCATTCCCTTTTACTACCACAATAACTTCAGTTACATTTCAGTTCAGTTTGATCCCCGAAAATATTGAATATTATGTACAGTACATTCAGAGGGAGACAGTTCTCAAGGTTAATTAAGAACTTTTTTCTCCCCAGGGTAATGGAACAACTGTTCAGATCTGGGRCATAATGTGAATTTCAAACAGCAGGGAACATCTGTTCCCAGCTGTGCACTCAACAGCAGCTTGGAACAYCTGATGATATACAAGTGCAGAAGGAAGCATTCAGGGCTGAATGTGCTACACATTATCCAACAGCTACTTAAAACAAAGGTGACAGATGAGAACACTCCACAAGCTGCTAAACAAACCAGTCTAAGTCTGCARTTTCCATTACTTTGCTTTTAAATTTACATAAATTTTTAACGATTTAGGGGGGAAAAGTTATTGTTAGATTTCACAAAGCTTTTAAAAATTWTTATTAAAATGGAAATGACAACGGATCATTTAGGTGAGGATTCCTTTTTTATACATACAACACAGTTAAGGAAATTTCCCTGTCTGACCATCCAGGTCTGGCACCCACTGCAGTCTGTAACTGCTGAGACTAAGACCTCTTTGCAGAGGGTGGCTCCAGTGACCCCACAGGTGCCCCTCCTGGCTCCYTGCACATCCCACACTCACATGGTCAGACAAGGTTTCCTTACCAGCTCAGGCCTGGGTTTCCCACGGCAGAGTCCCAGACATCTGGATCCTTAAAATAATTTAATCAYGGTGCATAATGCAGAAACAGCTCAAGCTGGTGCCTCTAGGGAGGAATCTTCAACAAAAGAATCCCTGGGCTTTCACACCCTCACAGTCTGTGCACCCAGACAGTCTGGGGTCATCCTGCTGAGTCCTTRGCTCCTGCTGTGTCTGAGTRTCTGGTCATCTGCCCTGTGCCACAGGTCCCTGTGCCCTTYGCTGTGCAGAGGGTCAGCACCAGGCCACAGCTCATTCCTCATCTAGGGCTCACACCATGTCCCCCACCCAGGCACAACCAGCAGCTCTCACTGCAGCTGTACATCCAGCACCTGCCCTAATGTATTCCTCAACATCAGGAATAAACTGAATTCTTGTAATTGCAAAACAAGACAAATACTCATTTGCCCCKCAACACATAGTATTTATTGTCTTTACAAATATTTTTGACTGTGATTCCCAGTTAGGCATAATTATTTCAAATACCAACACACACAAACACCCAGTATGGTACAACRGATCTACTTCAGGCTAAAGTATCTCCCTCCCACTACTTAAGAAGCTTCTCCCCCTTCCCATCCCAAACTCAACTTACCGTGTAGGACATAACCAGATTAATCATTCCTTCTTTGTCATCACCTTGCCTTCCACTTAAGCTATACCATTCATCCTCCACATTTCCTTGTTTCAGAGACTCAGGAATCGTWATGTGTGTCCAAGCAATGCGGTCATCCATTGAAAAGGCTCGCTGAAATATAATTTGAAAAATTTTACCCAACTGTTTAAAAAAAAACCCCAAACTTAAAATTATGCTTGACTAACACTTCAGTTTTATGCTATTTGTTAATTTTTATTACCTTTGAAACTATTTAAGTGTCAGTAAATATTTGGACCATCTCCCTTTCTAACAAAGATGAAAGATACTTTTAAGTGGAATTATAGATTGATTGCAAATATTTAATAGCAAGAAATTTAAAACCTGAAGGAGAACACTCTAGAAATACAGCATCCTAGTATCATCACAGGCTATGTGAATCTCGTGACATCACAACAAAAGCCATACAGATCCAGCAGATCTGCCCCCTCCCCTGTTGCTACACTGAAACAGACACTTGAACCAATCTCATAAAGCAGCATCCAAAAACCTCACCTGTGTAATGGCCACACAGCTGCTGCACTGTCATGCTTTACTGCACACAGTGAGAAAGACAGCAAAAAAAAGGCAAACTGTAAGACTATAGCTACAGCCTTAGCCTCTTAATAAATCCCAGTGACTACACAAAGTCTGTATGTGACAGTTTTATTCTCAGGAATTCCAAGCTTGGGAAAGCTTCCAAGCTCTTCCCAGGTTAGAATAGCACCAAGAATTTTCAAGTAAAACAGGACTGTACAACAGGATATTTTTAACACAGACAGTGAAGGATATAAAACTGCAGGGCATTTTGTTATCGAAGAGGAGTTTAAATAGAACTCAGACAATTTTTGCTTCTCTTTCTGTGCAAGCAAGTCTCCTAATGCCCCTTTATCAGCTACCAAAGTAAAAGTAACAGTTCTGACATTGTTGGGGAAGAGTAAAGCCATATGCATTGCTGCTTTTGGAGTTTGAAAAATTTCTGTCATCTCCCAGAGAGCACAGTTAACAAACTGTCTATGCAAACTGAACCTTTTCATGCAAGGTTTCACCCAAAATCTCAGTCCAAACAGGAGATGGGGAGGGGTAGAAAAAACATGTAGCAGTTCTGACCTCATCAAATATCTCCAGATAAAAAGAGTCCACACCCGGAGGAACAGTGCACTGAATAACTTTGTTCCAGCGGGGGTTCTTGGCTCCATTATGTGCTGTTGGAGTTTCATACACAGCATACCCCAGCCGTATTCGACAATACGGATCCATGCGTGTCATTCCGTAATTCTTTGCCAGTTTGGCCTGAGAAGAAAAGAAATCCAAGGAGTGTATAATACTGACATTCACTTGAGATGTTAATTATTATTGGTTCACAGCAAGAACCAAATATTGAACAAAGGACTAGATTAAGTTCTGTGACAGAGAGGAAAGAGGAAAACAATGAAAACAACATTCAGATTAAAACATAAACCAGTAACACCATTAAATGTCTGGGAGACCTTGAGAAGGGAACATCTCTTTAAGCTATTCATTGTACAAAACACAGATCTTCATTGTAGCTAATATAAATTACTCACACCAAAGCAAAGACACATGATTACAAAGACATTGCAACAAGTTCAATTTTTCTCTGGGGATCAGATCGACAGCAAACAATCACAAGTGTAATGTCATAGGTAACCTGTCCTCTTTCACTTAAGTTCTTTTAAAGGCTGAAATACAGAAAGCCAGTACCTTCAAGAATATCACACAATCCAAAAGCTCAACCTGCAAAAGCAGTTCAACTGAGGTAAACTACTAACAGTAGGTCATATGTTTCCCAGCAATTAAACACTTACTTCAGCATGTGCATTTAACAGTTGTTAATTCAGAGGACAACTCAAGTCCTAAGATTACTACAAACACAGATGCTGTATAGAATCAGAAGAGATCCAACATACTTTTGCTTAACATCAGAAGAGTAGAACAAAATAAGGTGATGACAGTCCTGACCACAACACTGATTATTGTTGCACAGCTGTGCTCAAGCAGAAGTTGGGCTTTTTGGACTGTGCTGTCTCTTTGACATACACTAAGCAGCTCATGGTTCTTTTTATAGCAAGACAAGTGACAAACCATGGTGCCCAKGGCATCTCCTACCTACAGCATGTTGACAGAACTTGAAACAGTTGAGGCAATGCACTGTGTAACATTCATCACAAAGTTTGCACCTGGGGCTTGGAAAGCCCTTTTCTCCTTCAGGAAACCTGCTAGTTCATCAGCTCATACATTAGAGCTGGTGACAAAGGTCTCAAACTGTTTCTTGCAAATGTGGACTTGAAAATTAAAGTAGGAAAGTTGACATCCAAATTAGACACTCCCTAAACTCTGGAGTTGCGGCACTAAGCAGTTTATCATAAAACTCCACCAAAATAAAGGAGACAATCAACTGTGCTTAGACAAACTCACCACCATCCCTATACATCTGCAAGAAAAGAAAAACAGCAAAGCAGCAAATTACCTCCCCAGAATTTTTTTCTGATCTTCCACCAGTTTATTAGTAACAGAATCAAGGCATGCTGTTTGATACACTTTATGAACACATATTTAAATACAAAACACTTAATCTCTATAGGTTAACTATACTATGGCAAGTCTCCTTTTCAGAATGCCACATTTCAATACGCAGCCGAGATTCCATAGCGTTGCTGCATAAACTCCTAGACAGGTAGAGAAGACTATCTCTTTGTCTGTTGTACTACCATTCAGAAAGACCCTTGACAGGCTAAGAGAAGTCTGCAGACAGGAATCTCAAAGTTCTGCAAGGGAAAAATTACATATATGATGGTAAGACTGGGTGWACTGCCTGGAGAACAGCTTTGAGGAGAAGATGTGGAAAAATGCATAAGGCAACTGCAGTTCTCCAYAATATTATCAAAATTACTAATGTCTTTTAATCTTAAGTGTTTCTACAGGAAGCCTCTGAACAGAAGTTTTCAGAGAAACCTGTTCATTGCAAAAAAACCCCATGAGTTCATYTGATTATGTGCTATAATAGCAAGGKTTACARAAAACTAYYAGGCAGCGATGAAACATGAAACTGGACAAAATGCTGATGTACAGGAATATGAAGCCACAAAACCTTTAGGAATTATTCACTTCCCATTTACAAGTAATTTAGTCACTCAAATTTCAACACAAAATCTTTTAGTGTTCACCAATCAAGAAAATGAATTGCATTAATTATTTAAAATTACTTAATTATACAAAGATGGAACAATTTATACCTGTACTACAGTAATGCTGAGTCTTCCTACTGTACCCATTGCTCCTCCATACTGTAGCTGCTGAGCTGCTTGGGCATCCAGCTGGATTTGCTGTTGCTGCTGGGTTGGGGTAATGCGAAGAAAGTCTTGAGGAAGCTCACCAACAAATACCTTAACAAAGAAAGGGGAAAAAAAAAAAAGACTTCGAACTTTTATAACGAGAAAGAGATGAACATAAATCAAAGCATAAMAAATAAAGCAGAATTTAGACTTGTTCTGACAGCATGAACAAAGAACTAATTAATGATGAAACTGCCAACTCATGTAGCAAATGTCCCCTTTCAGAAACACTAATTTCCAAAATAAGCCACTGAAAAAAAGTAGGACAGAGAGCCAAAATTTCTCTGCAACTAAGCATTTAAGTAGCACATACRAAAGTCAGAACCACTAAGTTTTACATCACATTTACATATGATATCTGATGGCATCCACCTGTTTCACTTATTCATCACCCATGCTGTGTTCCACGTTCCTACAGCACAATGCCTTCCTCTGAAAGGTCACTTTCACAGTTGCCTTCAAGAGGGGCTGTAAAACAGGAATTCCTATGGACCAAATCCTGCAACAGAATAAAGTGCCCAGATGTTTTTCCAGTGTTAAACACAGCTGGTCTGCAACTAACCTTGGTGACAGAATTCCACCACATTCAAAACAACAATGTGGGAAATAAAAATCTGGTCTATCAAGACAATGAGCCTTGAAAAGAAAGTCAAAATATAGTTGAGAACTTCTGACACATAAGCCAATATGAATCAGCACTCACAATGGATTTTCTATTAGCTTTACAGTATAAAGATCATCCTTTTAAAATAACACACTATAATAATATTTTAAAAGGCAAAAGAAGCGTCACAGAAAATTTACAATTAAGCTCATAATTAAGTACTCATTTCTGTTATCTATAGAATGGTTTACATATTTAATACAGAACTAATCAACCTACTAATCAACTCGATGTCTACCTCATCAAGACAAAGATGATGCAATTTCTTATGCTGCAATCCCAAGCAATATTACTCAATCACGTATCTGGCAGATKAATGCCTACAGAACATAATTTAAGAAGTTCACAGGCCTTGAGGACATAGCTTTTCAAGATTAGACAGCATTCRCATGTCAAGATTGCATCTTGGAGACAGAAATTGCACCTCTTGCCAAATCACATGTTGTATGACTATTTTGTATGATTATCTGAGAGCCTCGGGATCCTGGCAACAGTAGGAATCACATGCCAGAAAGGAAATAATCTTAAAAGTTCAAGAGGAACCACTGAATGCCTGCTGCTGGGCTATTGGGAAGGAAAGAAAAAAGGGAATCACTTTTGCTTACAAGCATCTTAAAATTTTAAAATTAAATCCTAAGTAGCTGAAGTTTTAAGAAGTGGGAAGAAAAAACAGGCAGAGAGGGAGAAAACTAAGCTAGAAGCTAATAATAAAAGGAAGCTTATTTAAGTTTGGCTGGCAATGAGACATGGTGTTGTAACAGTCTTCTCAATGGAATAAATATAATTTTAAAATAAAATATAATCCATTTAGGCGAGATTTCAAATGGCCCCTGAATAATCAAGGAAATGGCATTTACAAAACAGCAGGTTCTCTCCACCCTTGATCCTCCAGGAAGTTTCAAATCTGGTATTATTAGCATCTCTAGGAATAGACTTCATAAACATTTCCCATAATCAGAAGAGGTGGCTGCAGCCCTGAAATCCCATTTCTATATTATGCAGGTTCTCTCTGTCAAGCTCCCAGAAAACAGGATGGCCTTTTTTGTCTCCACCATCTTCACATGGATATTGGAAAGCATAAGTCCTTCACAATAGAAGTCTAACAGTATCTGTTGCTTTTTTAATTATATTTTATATAAGTTAGCCAATATGTGCTCCAAAATAAAATAAACAAATTAGTCTCTGTACTGAGATTCAAAGGAGAAAAAGTACATAAAAGCTAGCAAAGTTTTCTTACAGAAGCTAAGCTGATTCTAGGTCAGTCAGTTACCTCCCACAAAGCCACATTCTTATCCTGGAACTGCAGAGCTGACAYAGATAGAAGCTAAAACTAAGTATTAACTAAGTTCTCAAAAGATCTGAGTGGTAAAGCCCTCCAAAAGGGAAGAGAGGGGAACAAGACATGCACACACCCACTCTAAGCATTCAGTTCTGACTGAGATTTGGTTCCCAAGCCCTGGTCATATAGCTGGTRAAACACCTAGGAGAGGTGCTTACTGAAGGTAATACACTACTCCGTACATCCTTATGTTAATTATCTGCTGATTCCATATTGATGAAAACAAATCARTATCACACAAYCATTTTATCTGTAAAGAAAACAGGTCAATTTACATCTTCTTCAAAGCATTTAAAAGCAGGCATGTAACTGCCACCTCCCAACCTCAATCAAAAATACAAAGTTATGTTACCAGAATTCAACCACAGWTTTAAAAACAAGGAGAACATACAYGACAAGCTTGCGTGATTCATCCTACTCCACAACCACTCTGAAACACACTTCCCTCTTTTATAATGGCACTTCAGAAAGTACATGAAAAATTCAAGTGTGTTCTGCACTACTTCATTTAAAATAAGCCTGCCTTATAATCACCTCATAATAAACTTTACTGAAAGTGCTGCATATCAAAAATATGGATTATCTAAAAATAGAACAATATTGCCCTTCTCATCTGCAACAACCACCAAAGAGGCAGTTTTGTGGATCTTCAAAGTAGAATGCGGCAGGTAGAAAAACTGCGCAGGTAGAAAARCTCTCAGCTTCTTCAAACTGATGCTCTACAGCTATTTACATAACTGAGGATGGGCCTGTCTCAGTCTCACCTTCCTGTTTYTTATACAACATGAAATGATGCCAGACAGTTGTAAAGTGTGTCAGTGAAAAGGGCTGATTAGAAGAAAGTGAAACAAGGGTTGGAGGTAAAGAGAATGGAAGCTGTCACAACCCCAAACTCACTGATTCTGCATGCACTAGAACCTGTGTAAGGAAGGGAAAGGAACACAGAGCCAAGGACAGCCACAAATGCCTCAAGTTACAGAAACATTTTCCCAGGCACAATACACTCAGGSAACGATAATCAAGGTTTCCACACCAGCAATTACTAAGGAAGTCTACCATGAAACTTCTTCAAAACATCAGAGAGCTTTAAACACCTGACTACTCAAAAAAGTTCTAACTGTTTTACTGTTTTTAAGAAAGAAAAACTGAATGAGACAGAATTTTGAACTATTATGCTATGCTTTGCACACTGAAGAAAAAATYGGTACCAGACAGGAAGCATCCAGAGGTCCTGAAAGAGCTGATATTTGTTCAATGCTGCTCTCTCACATCTTTGAAAGGTCATAGAGATTAGAGAAACTCCTCTATAACTGAAGAAARACAAATCTCACMCCYAGCTTTCCAAAGGGCAAGAAGGATGACCTGAGCTACCACAGGCAGATCAGCTTCACTTCAGTCACTAAGAAATTCATGGAGAAAGTGCTTCTGGAAGACATTCCTTCACACATGATGGAAAAAAAAACTGAACATGACTAGGAATAGCCAGCCTTTACTAAGGCTTTAAAAGAATAAACAGCTAATGAGCCATGTGCCTTCTCCAATAAAATTAGAAGARTATAAGACTAAGGAAAGTGCAGAAGGTATCAAAGCTGGATCATTACAATCTGAATGGGTGGTCTACTGCATGGATGCAAAGCTACCTGAGGCACTGAGCTCAGAAGCTGAAGCTCARTGGTTAACAATACCGTAGTTTGACTAAAAGTGAAGCTGTTCAGAGGTCTGTACTGAAACTAATTTATGTGTCTAATACTTTTCCTCAGTAACCAAAGGTGATGACAGACAGTACCCTTACCAGTTTGAAGGATGACATTAAATTTTGGGAGAAATGACTGGTATGATTGAGGACCAACTAGAGAGACGGAAGAATTCACTGACAGGAATCTCATRAAATTCAACAAGGGCAAAGACCTGTACTTTGGCCAGAAAAATCCTTGGCACCAGTACAAACGGGAGAACTACTGGCAGGACTGCCTSTACCTCTACAGAGGTGGACAGCAAGCAAAACATGGATGAGCARAGGACTTTTGCAGCAATGAATCCTAACAGAAAGCTACAATGGATTAACAAGAACCCAGCCAGTGGGCTGAGGAAAGGAAACAAATGCTGGACCACAGCTGGAACACTGCAATGATTTGGGGCCCAGCAAAGATCCACCAAGAACGCCCATGAAAACAGCTGGAGCACTTGTGAAGACAGGCTGAGGATTTGTTTAGACTGGAAGAAAAGTAGAATGCACCTTGTAGGAGCTTTCTGGTATCTGTGAGGAAATCACTGAAAAAGCAGAGACAGGTTCTCTTCTGAGATACAAAGAGAAATGAGATCTCAATTATTAACCTTAAATTGGAGCAGATTTCATATGAAACAAGGAGTGGGTAAAAATACATGCTAAGTATGGAAGGAACTATGGTATATAAGGATGAGTTAAAAATTAAATGTAGAATTAATGTCCATATGTCAATTGTGTCTATGCCTGGGGAAGAGAAGGMTCCAGGGACACCACAGAACACCTTCAAGTCCCTGAAGAAGACTACTAGAAAGCAGGAGAGGGACTTTTGACAAGAGCCCGTAAAAAGTTCTGAAGAGTCCTTTGACAAAACTGATGAGAGTCACTACACATCAGAGCAATGATTATTAGGAAAATTAGGAGGAGAAACCTATGCAGTCCTAGCTTGGTACTTGATCTAATTTTGGAGGACCTGATGTATTTGCCACCACGGTGGACAATCATGGGGTATAACCACAGAGAGTAATTTTGGGTATGACTGGCTAGCTAAGGAACCACAAAAATAAAGTTTTGGTGGCTCAGTCTTTATCTAATGTCTGGTCAAACTGTTCATTAATACTCTCACATGTAAAAAGTATCATTTAGCAGCCCTTACATATTCAGCTACATTTTAAATTTTAAAAGCTGTTTTGTTCACAAAAGACCACAAAAAGTGAAAATATGCTAATTTCATAACATCCTGAAAAGGGCCAGAAATATCTATATTCTAGCAGAGTATTTACAGTAACAGAAACGATGAATTCTGTTTCATCTGAAAAACTAAACAGCTATCAGAAATTTTAATTACACACCATGTAAGCACCATCACAAACTAGAAAGCACAGGTATAAGAGTAAGACTGGCAATAACCCAGTTTATTTTCTTACCCACATGAAACAACCTTGAATATTTTCTTGCTTGTTCAAACAGAAAGACAGAACTGTTCTCTCCAGCACTAAAGAAAAACRTCTTTCCCAATCCTTTAGCACCATTTAGTGGCTATTCATTTGTAATGCAGTTGCATATATTGAAACAAGTAGAATTCTATCTTCCTCCCTGGAGAGAATTAAGAAAGGCTGGCATGCACCATATCAACATGCCCAGCTGTGAATGGCTGCTTAATATTGCATAACTTATTCATTCATTTGCAAACATTCAAGTCTCTAAAGTGGGTAAGGAAGAAAAGTATGTACAACAATGTTAAGAACACATTAAAAAACCAAAACAAAACCTGAAGCCCGGAAAGCCAAAGTTGAATGAGATAAATCATCATATGCTTTTACACTTGTCAGGCTTCAATAAAGTTTAGGAAACAAAGATTGTCCAGAGATTATAGAAGAGACCTGGTAAATTCTGGAACATGACATCAAGAATAACATTCTAAGGATGAGACGCGGCTCCTTTGAAATATTCAAGAAAGACTAGGCAGTTGTGATAAATAAGACAAATAAAGCATTTTAAGGAATAAAATTGATGACCATATCATATTACCATCATAACTGACACCAGTGCAGTTTTTCAAGATTAGCAGTAATTAATCTCTTTGTTCCTTCTACAAGGCTGCAGATTAAAAAAGAGTAGCTGTTTCTACRTAATAAAAATACAACAGTGTAAATTTATTGATTTTTAAAAAACCATGTTTCACCTGCTAAGCAATATCATATTGTCAATGACTATCAGATCCTTTCAGAGGGGAGGAACAGACTGTAACAGCACATCTGACGAGAGCTGATGTTGAAACACCACACATGTAAAACATGGTGTGAGGTATGATTATCCTTAAGCAAAATCGGACAGCAAAATATTCCCAATGAACTGTCAACATCAGCTCCCAGAAGGCTGGTAAATTGGTTTTACGACGGCTCAGCTCCCGTCCARCACGCACGCCTACATCCTACAAGGGTTACGTCGTTGCAGCTTTCAGGCGGCAGCCCCGGGGACAGCGGCCCGACCGTGCCCCGCCGAGCCGCGAGCGGAGCTGCGCTCTGCTTCCAAGGGAAAGCGGTTTAGCTCCGCTTCAGTGTAAGCCGTTCCCTCCTTGGAAAGGCCTTTGGACAAAGCATGGACAGAACAGCCGCCTCACGGACTACACGCAGTTAGGAGGGACTTTCCCCACCCCTTTCCCAAAGCCTCTTCCCAGGCGGGGAACCGGGAGAAGAGGCAGATCTCCCTCCCCCGCCCCCCGGCAGCCTGGAGAAGATGAGAGGGCTTTTCCTCTCCCCACTCYGGTGCGGCTGGAGCTGGGGAACGATGGGCGACACGGAGTCTGCCGCCCACAGCGGTCCTGGCAGAGGCCGGGCGGGCCCATCGGGGTCTCCAAGCCGGGCCTCACCGCCCAGTGCAGCGAGCTGGAGATACCCCTGAGCGGGCCCCGCGGCGGGGCCGTGCCCGCAGCACTCACCGGGCCCCGCTGGGTGGTGACGGTGGTCGCCATAGCGCCTCGCCGGGGCCGCGGCCGAGACCCTTCCTCTTCTTCCTCCTCCTCCCGCCCCGCCAGGCCGCCGACGCCGCTCGCAGCCCCGCTCCCGGTCCCGGTCCCGGTCCCGCTGCCCGTCACTCAGCGCGAGCCGCACGTCACCTGACCCGCCCGGCCCCGCCCCCGGGCAGCGCAGCGGCGTGCTCTTGCGCATGCGCGTGTTCACGCACGGGGAGGGGCGGGGAGCCGTTCTGCGCATGCGCTGTCCTGCGCTGCGGCCGCCGCAGCGGAGCGCGGCGCTGCGGGGACGCTGTGGCCGGTAGGGGGCGCCGCGGCGCTGCGGCGGAGGCGGGACGGGCGCGGCGCCTCAGGCCGCCATCTTGTGCCGGGGGCGTCGCTCTGGCACAGCCGGGGCGCCCCGCGGACGGGAGGGGACGGGAGGGGTGTGTGGGGTGCGCGGGGCACTCCCCGGCCGCGCTCTGGCAGGCGTGGGGGCCGTGTGTTGGAAAATGAACGACTGGCGTGGCCCCAGTGGTCTCCCAAAGCTCGCTGAGCAAGCGCAAACCTTTGCGGGAGAACAAAAGCAGCTTYCATATTCATCCGAGTGCTGCTTCGGGACATAAAATCTGATTATTTCAAAGCCTATTTAAATAACATACTGTTTCCCGTTGTTAGTTCTGCTTCCTGTTGTCAGGATCTGCCGCACAATTTTAGCCCTTAATTAAAATTCTAGCGCGGATTTCAGCAGCTGGAAATAGAACAGTGCAATTAGGAACGCTCCAAATATAGCACCAGCTTTTTTTTTTTTTTTTTTTTTTTTTTATCATCTTCTTGCAGTGGGAACAGCCTCATCTTTTTTACATCATAGAATCACAGAATGTTACAGAGTTGAAATGGGTCTTAAAGATCATCCAGTTCCAAGCCCCATGGCATGGCAAGGACACCTCCCGGGTTTGGAGATCCATCCAACCTGGCTTTGAATGCTGCCAGGGATGGGACACCCACAGCTCCTCTGGGCARCCTCTTCCAGTGCCTCACCATTCCCGCAGTAAAGAATTTCTTCCTAATATCTAAGCTAAATTTCCCCTCTTCCAATCTGCACCCATTACTCYTTGATCTGTCACTACAGCTCCTTACAAGGAGACCCTCTCCAGCTTTCCTGCAGGCCTTCAGATACCAGAATATTGCTGTGAGGTCTCCCTGCAACCTTCTCTTTAGGCTGARCAGCCCCCACTTTCTCAGCCTGTCTGTGTAGGGCAGGTGCTCCAATCTCCTTATCAACTTCAGGATCCTTTACTGGACTTGYTCCAACAGTTCCACATCCTTCTTATGCTGGGGACACTATAGGTGTTTGCAGTACTCCAGGAGGAGTCTCACAAGAGTAGAATAGAGGGTGAGAATCAATTCCCTCACCCTGCTGGTCATTCACACTCCTTTTGATGCAGCCCAGGACRCGGTTGGCTTTGCACAAACTGCCAGCTCATTTTCATTTTGTCATCAACCATCACCCACAAGTCTTTCTCTGCAGGGAGAAAGTCTTAACATCATTACATCATGATAGCCTTGACATTGTGAGAGCAGAATGGAGGGAAAAGAGTGTTAACAAGCTTCATTGGTATTCGTATGTCTGTCACTRCACAAGCTAGGAAAATAGTTTTGGCTAAGTCATGAGCAGTTACAGTTTTACTCACCGTGGATTTCACCTTATCTAGTTGCAATAATTTCAAAGAGATCAGACAGGAGAAGACATTATTGCCTCTATGAAATTTATATCAACAGAAAAAAATAGTAGTCTTAACTTAGAAATTCTTGAGCTATGTTTTCCCCATACAGAGATGTGCAGTGACTAAAACGAACATTTTCTCTTCCTGACATGCTACCACTTTCTAACTTAATTTTTTATTTTCCTGGTTTATTATTCCTGGCTCTCAGGAAATTCATATAGACTCTAATAACTTATTTTTATTCACCATTTTAAGCCATTCGAAACATTTTTTCAAGGATTTGTTGTCAGACAAGCCCCCCTTTCCTTARCCCGGTGCCTGCAGCTGGCCTGGAAGTGGCACAGGAGTGGTGGCAGCGCCACCCGGCGGACATCTCCGGAACGTCACCCGGCCTCCGGCCGTGGACAGGCGAGTTGGCTCCCCAGGGATCGCCGCGAACCGGCGGRTGAACAGTCGGCGACGCGCCTGGTGTCAGCGTAGTAATTAAAGCGTAAGCCACGGGAAAGGTGAGAGAACAAAAGTCRTAAAACCCTCTTATTTGCAACATATGGGCGTCGTTAAGAAAAGGTTGAAAGGTAATCAGAGAAGCTATAATGACAATAAATTGTGTTTATCTTGTAATAAACATTTASACATSAGTTTCCCCTGTATCATTCTTTCGTTCTYATTTCCATTCTCTTCTCTATTGTTCCCAGTTTTTCACCGACCCTTTAGGTTTGTGGTAGGCACACTTGCCTCTTTTTATGAAATTTTTAAGGGCTTAGTATCTCTGAAGACATTAGGTAAAATTGATTAAAACCAGACAGCTGGTTGTAGATGTGTAGAGACAAACAAATACACATCCACATAGTGGGATTGCTTGAAAATTATCAGACAGACATTTCTCCCTAGGCTGTCTCCAGGATGTGAAATTGTGGATAGCACCTAAGCTTTTCTTCATAAAATCAGAAACCAGTGTCTCAAGACACTGGCAGAGTAATGCACATGATGCTGCCCTCAGTGAGGGACAGTTGCAGAAGAATTCCTGCCAAATTAATATTGTGCTTGTTCAAAAGCCCAGAAGGGACACTTCAAAGGGTGAAGAGAATCTGATGCTATGGGGGAATGGCGAGGGAGCAAAGCTCGGGTGGATAGTATCTTTCATTAGTGACTTTCCTTAGGTGTTTATTTAGCACTCAGCATTGGAGTCTGACTCTGAAACCTGTCAGATGGCACTTTAAAGATGTAAATGGCAGTAATTAGTGTGGTGAGAGGACTACATTTGTAGCTCTGTGGAAATAGTGCACTCTTAAGATGGTCAAGCCTCCCAGTTTATTTAGGTAAGATATATTAGCATCCTTCTGTTAGGAAGTAAACCTCAAACTCTGTTAGCTCATCTCTTCCCCAGGGAAAGCTCACAAGTGAGTTGGGTGGTTACATTTTGAGTATCTCTCGTGATACAGGAGTAGTTCCCAGTCATTTAAACCCATTGGCTTATTGTGGCTTASAAAGACAGTAAGTCACAAGAAGGTTTAAAAATGTACTCTTAGATGAGCGAAAGCTGGTGCATAAAAGCACAGTAATAAATCACAGCTGGGATTTGTCTAGTTAAGAGATGTTCACCTGGCGCTGCAAAGGATCTCACACTGGCAAAACAGGTTTTGGGTTAGGTTTTGTAGGTATTATGAACATACARGAGTACTGTGGATGGCTCTGCATCACTTCTGCTGCTGGCTTGGATCTCAAGCAGCACCAGCCCTTTTTGCCTTGTCCCCATAGGACTTCAGATGCCACACAAAGGGACAGTTCTKTTGCATTGGAGAAAACATCTCTTGCAAAATGTAGAGCCCAATTCCACCATCATTTCATACACAGTCTCACAAAGCTACTTGAATTTAATTGTGAGCAGGGGTGACAGTAGACAAGGCCAAAGGGATCCACTGCTTTCTGAATCCAACACTGTGGATCGAAGCCATACCAGAGTGCAARTGAAGAACAAGGAAACTGATGTCACAGGCTTCCAGCTATAGAAAAGCCTTTGGAGTCCTGGTGTGCTGAGCACAGCTTTCTGGGATGTGTGCGGACTGACACAAGGCTGGACACAGCACCAAACACAGAAGGGACTGCAACACTAATCTTTTGTTCATGGTGCCAGATCAAGCTTGGTAATGTACAAGTGAGCTGAAACAGGAACATGGAAATCCCAGATGGTGTTCGGGCTGGCTGTAACAAACAATAATTTCCACTTCAATGGCATACAAGGTACTCTCAGTGCATTGCAAACTTTAATTAATCCTCACAGTCTGGTTGGAATGCAGAATTACATACCCCATCATGAAGGAAAGATGGCTCCAGCATGAAATATGGCAACTCTATTACAGCACACAACAACATTACCCAGAAATTTCAGTCAGGATGGATGCTGCAGTGAGACTAGAAGAGGATAAATTGAAGAGAGAAAGTATTCAATACAGACTGAAGATGAAAATCAGAACTGCCTCCCTCCTAACACTGCACCATGAAGCAGAGCTGTTAAACTGCAGGCAGCTTACCACCCTCACAACCCCTGCAGAATTTCATACTCCTGTGTTAGAGCTGCTGATTGAGCCAGATGAGTATTGGCAAAAGCATTGTTGGAGCAATTGTGGGGGATTYTAGCAGCAAAGCTGAGAGCACTGCCGAGCAGCTAATAAGTGGCTATTCTTCAGTCACGCTGCACTCAAAATAGCTTTCCAGCAAAGGAAAAGCAAATTCTATTGGCTTCAACACCTGGTTGARCAACTTAATAAGGACAAAATTGAAAGTTAGAGCTGAATCATTATTTATTTTATAACTACATCTTCATCACACAGTTCACTCCAAATCGGGAGTTATTTCATTTCAAATCAAGTTTGTGCAAGGTTTTTCTGTAGGTTCATTCAGCACAGAGGTGAGGAGAAGGTTCTTTGAAAACAATTTCAGACACCAGCTTCAGAGGAGAGCAGTCTATAGTCATAAGAAGACTTTCTCCTTTTTCTCCAGTTCTGCCATACTTTTCCCAAATTGTATTTTTAAAGTGTTTTTTTTAATGCACCAGGAAAATTGTAGCAGTGCAAAACTTCGTTAATGTTATTTTGGTAACATGTCCATTATGAATTATTGTTCTATTCCTCTGTTTTTTTTCCCAGTAGGACCAYACCTTCCATGAAGTGTCCAAAGTTGGCTGTGTCCCATCCCATCTCAGAGGTCCAGCTGTCCAAAGACAGCTTCGAGGAGAGCTGAAGAATTACTAAATGTTTTGTAGATGATAACATGGGCTATAAGGGTTTGCCTTTTTTACAGCAGCATAATGTTGTTAACATCCAAATCTCTTTCTGACATACARTTATTTAACTTGTTCTTCTTCATGTTATGTTTCTGCCGTTCATTATTCTCTAAGTGTGGTGACCTGTTTGTTTTTATTGAGTTGCATC